CTGAGAGTAGAGCTTAATGTTGGTTTTGTTTTTTAGTTTGCTGGTCACACTGATCATGGAAATACACCTGCATCAATGTATTGCTTGCTCCACAAAGTAACTGGCATCAATATAGAATCCAATAGGGAAATGGCTGCAACTTCCAAAATGAGCTGAGCAAACAGGATTACCTATAGCTCCACCACACCTCTAATTCCGTGTGTGTGTGTGTGTGTGTGTGTGTGTGTCTTTGTGTGTGGGGGGGGGGGGGTTGGGAAGGAGAGATTCTGGTGCAGTGGGTCTGGGGAAGGACCCTGGCAGTAATTTGTTTTTAACAAACTCTCCAGGTGATTCTTACGCATAATAAAGCCTGGGAACCAGGGCAGTGTGACACTTAACTATGTACCTGACCTTCCCATGCATCAGACTTAAAAAACTAAAACTGCAGCCTTTGTTTCCTGGAAAACACACAGTCAGGCTTGCCTCACAGAATACCTGCAGCCAGATGCCCCAGCCTCGGCCAAGCAAATGCCTAACAGCTGGGGAAACAGTTCACTGCCGGTGACACCACCTCCTTTTCCAGGTACCCCCGGCTGAGAACCGGAACAGCTCTTTATATCACACTGTTTTCACATTACTAGGTAGGGACGAGGGTGGGATGAGACATTTATTACTGTCCCATTTAAAACAGGGACATGTAAGTGTTCTTCCCTTTGAAAGTGAGCGGTCCCGGGATGCATGGAGCTGAGATACAGGGGTACCATAGCATGAGGATGCCTCTAGCCGGGCAGCTCAAACACAGACACACTCTCTCAAGATGTAGCTAAAAACATCTTCCTTCTCAGATGAACAACGGACAATTGAAGAGCCCCCCCCCCCATCCCCTCCTCATTCTCCCCTGTAAGAGCCAAAGCAATCGGGAAAATCAATTTGAAAAATGTGGCCTGGAGTTGGCTGTCCCATACAGCTAGGGCTACCGCACCAGAGCTGGGGACCGCCCTCGAACACTAGGACTGCTCTGTAGGGCAGCAAGCTGCTCTGGGATGCAGACCAGGCCCTGGGGAGAAATAGGGCGTGGTCACCAATTTCGAGATGAAGCATCATTTCAGGCAGAAAAACTAGGCTGGCTCTCATGTTGACTGTGCCCTTGAAACCAGAGCTGGGCACAGGGGGCCACCACGAGGACCTGAAGGACAGAGTGGACACTTGCCTTTTTTGGCCAAAGCAACGGTGCAGAGCAAGAGGTTGTCCTCCTCAGAACGTTAGGCAATAGTCACTCAAGGGTTAAAGGCAGGGGGTAATATTGCACCCAGAGAGAGGGTTTGGGAGGGAAGTGGGGTGACGGGGCGGAAGTGGAAAATGGAAGGTGGGAGAGGAGAGCTATAATAATATGAACCCTGGGGGTGTCAGCAAACAAGCCTTCACCACCCTCAGGAGGTGTTTCTTCTGCCCCCCAGACTTCCTGAGTGGGGTCCCCAGCACCAGGGCACCAAGGACAGCCATGAAAGCAAAGTAAAACTGGAGGGTCCATCAGTTGGGACAGGAGTGGGATGTGTCACATGGGCACGAGGTGAGAAGATGAGAGTGCTTGGGAATCCCAAAACCCACTTGATTCACGTTTTCTCTACGAAGGCATTGTGTCTTAAATGGAGTTTTTAAAAGTCATTTGACAAGGCGCCATGCTCAATTTTTAGTAACTTGAATAATGCCGGTATCTGTTCACTAAACAACAATTCAGGATAACTAAATCATAAAAGTCCGAGCAGCCTGACGTTGCTGCAGTTCACCCTGAATTCACCCAAGACCTAGGACAAAGCAGCCTTTGACATGCTCCATCAGGGCACCTAAATAGCAGCGAAGAGCAGGCACTAGCTACCCCTCAAACAGGCTGGCAACCCGTGATGATGCCACCCAGAGCTGGCTTTCAGGCACGTTCCACCCCCACCAATCCTCCTCCTTCAACCCCTCCCCCAGGGTCCATGCAGGGTCCTGTCCCCGCTCTTCAAGCCCAGGGTCTACCTTCTTCAGTGTGCACAGCCCTGAGCTCTGGGCTTCTCCACGTAGTTCCGACGATGAGAAACGCCTGGCTCTGCAGCAGAAAGATGGCGAGTAGGAACCCTGGTGCACTGCTGGTGGGACTGCAGACTGGTGCAGCCATTATGGAAATCAGTATGGAGGGATCTCAAAAAACTGGAAATGGAACTACCTTATGACCCAGCAATCCCACTCTTAGGTATTTATCCAGAGAAACCCAAGACACTAATTTGAAAAAAATATATGCAACCCTATGTTCATTGCAGTGCTATTTACAATAGCCAAGACTTGGAAACAACCGAAATGCCCATCGGTAGACTACTGGATTAAGAAACTGTGGTACATTTACACAATGGATTATTGCTCAGCTATAAAGAAGAAGGAAATAGTACCATTTGCAACGATATGGATGGACCTAGAGAACATTAGGCTAAGTGAAATAAGTCAGTCGGAGAAAGACAAATACCATATGATCTCACTTATATGTGGAATCTAAAGAACTGAATAAACGAGCAAACTAAACAGAAATAGTCTCAGA